TCATTGGTCTCATTGGTCCAGTTCGATTTCGGCCAAGAGACGGGGCCTCGCCTGGAATCTCATCCATGGCATCGCATCAGCGCGCGGGTCGCACGCGGGGCCAAGAACCCGTCTGAGAACCACCGGTCGACTCTTCACGTCCTGAAACATTTCAACAAACGTCGCAGGGGTCTGGGACGAACGGGCGTCGACTTGGGACTTGGGCTCTTCTTTTGGTTAACCCTTGCATCTTGGCATGAAAGAACGCATCCTTTAAGACCTCTTAAGGTAATTCTTGCATCCTCTAAGACGACCTGCCATGAATTTCATGGCGTAGCTTCTACGTCTTTCTACTCTTCTTTGGCCAACTTACCTAGGTCCGATCAGCCTACCTGGCGTGGACGAATGAGTTGGGCTGCAGGTGACCCTCTTGGCCGTTGTCTTCCTCTTTGGAACTGCCCAAACGGCCACGGGAAGGGACGCCGTGCCGTTCTCTTTGGCGCGTGAAACACCCCCCCTGTTCCACCCACCCACGCGACGGCAGGTTTTTTCGGAGCGTGAGCTGCCAAGCCTTTTCGGGGGGCTCGTCATTGGGCCGCGAGGAACCGGTTAAGGCTTTTAAATTAACAGATGAAATGTACCAGGACCCGACTCTACAGGTCACCAATTGAGACCTGTTAGGGTCCAACAACCCTCAACTAACAGCCTGGAGGGTGCTGGTATAGGCTGTCGCCCACACAAGAAGCAACTGAGGTCCCCAGGTTCGTTTCAATCGTACCATGCCCGTTACTCCAAGCCGTTTCAAGCTGGTGGCTTCTCCAAATGGCCTACCTCGGCGTCACTTATCCTACAAGTGTTCGATATGAGTTCTCACATGGAGTCATTGTGAGTCACGTCCTCTTGAACCGGAAGAAGGAACTCTGGGGGGCACCAGCTCGAAGGCGTTTGGCACAAACATTTATCTTCATATCTCTATATCAAAGTAGCAAAGCCTCTCTCTCGACCACACCCAGAACAGTCTATATGCCGCAAATGAGGAGATCTTGCAAAAAAACAACCAGTTAAAAAAGCAACTTAAAGGCACTTCCGATCTCATCAATCTTCCAGTCTCCACACATATCTCGCAGATCGCCTGGAAGATGGCCTAGCAGGGAGGAGCATACTCTCCATCAGGAGAATGGATTCTCCAGTTGACAAACATAGATGGTTGTCCAGAGTCTTCTACTCCAGATGTATGCTGGACTGCTGTATTCATTACGATTTTACTCATACGCCATGTATATATATATATATGTATATAACATAGTCACTATATGGCCACTGGAGTAGAAATATATATATATGTATTGCCAATGACCTCCTTTACTTTGGGTTTTCGAGAATTCGACATTTGTCGTTGGACTGCAATGAATGTGGATTCTTCTGTTTCTTTTGCTTGTGCTGGGCATTCAGGAACTGTTGACACAAATACATACATGCTGCAAGGGTTAGTTAGCTCCGATACTTCTCTGCATTCTTCCAAAGATATATCACTTTGAAATCCTTCTTTTGAAGCTGATAAAGCAGATCTAGCTGCTTTCCTCAGAATCCCCCTTCTTCAACTCCAGGCCCTTCCTCCGCCATCAACACAGGCACCCGTTGTCATCACCAACCGTCGGCTCGTGCCACTCCTGCAGGTTGCGGCGTGCCCGGCGCCAAGGGCAAATCTCATCGTCTCCTGACGAAGTTTGAGGCTCGCGCCACATAGCGAAGCTCATTGTAAAGAGGGACTTGTGCGCCCAGTTCGTAGCAAGCAGGGTGTTGCTACAGAAAAATACATGAAGCCTGTGACGTCGGACAAAAACGAACTGCCAGTCATCATCCTTTGATGCTCAAAAAAATCATACATCAAACAAGATCGGGTGGCTTTCACCAAGGTCTATGCCTTCGTGACCATCCCACGGTGCCGTGATGGGAAGCACGGTGCCGTGACCGTTCATCGTTCCTGCGGCCTTGTCCGCCCGACCCGGTCCGTGGGCGGAAAGGTCGCGTTGCTACACTCCAAATGGCTGGGGGAAAAAATGCTGCGAAGGACCCGAGGAAACCGAGGTTCGGACCTGAAGTCGTCTGAGGTCGAGTTCGGGTGTTTCCGAGTTCGGCAGAACACACCCTCTCTGAGGGGTGTCCGGAGATTCCGTTCGCAGAGGAAAAACGACGTGTCCGACGAGACGAACGCCCTTCTTGGTGCTTCGGTCCTTTCGCTGATCGGTTGCGGGGCTTCACCTCGATCCGTGGCGCTGTTCGGCTCACCCGATGTCATGTTTGAAGGTTGGACCGGTTTAGACCACGACTGAGGCAGACCGTCTTCACAGAGTTGCAGCTTCCGTCCATGAACTACTTGGGGATGACCGTTTGCACTGATTCTAGGTTTCTTGGTATGATGTGTTTCTAATAGTGATCTCCTTTTTGCAACATTTTCAAGGATCAAACATCTTTGCCACGCCTGTGCGCGCGCCCCGCGCGCCCCGCGCGGCGAGGCAGACCTGAACAAGCCGGCGAGGTCTCTTGAGCGTGGAGGGGAAGACCTGCCCCATCGACTTTTGGGAAGATCAACGGGCGGTTTTGGTTGGTATGCTCTCTGGAATCCAGGTGTTGCAGAGTGAAATCCCTTTGACCTTGTCAGTGTAGTTTTGAGCACTCACAGTAGAGGCTCATGTTTTCAAGGGAAAAAAGAAACGCTCAAAGTGGAGAACGAACTAGGTCAAATGATAGGCTCTTTCTGTGAGACTACCCGGGAGCCGATGCAAACAAAGGCAGCCATTTTTACATGTCAATGGGCACTCACATGGGCTTTCAGAATCCTCCTTCAAACAGTTCAACTGTGGGGGCTTGCTGGACCTAGCTGCTCAAGAAGGAGGCCGCTTTCGAAGCTCCACTTCATCTTTGCTCTGAGCCTTTGCCATCTCTGCAGTGCCCGAAACAGCCCCCTCTCGTTGCAGGTCCCAGCTGCACTGATGCCAGCCAGGCAAAGGCCAGGGCAGAGCAAAGGTTGCCCATGCAGTACTCATGAGCTCACCATGGTTTGATCTTCATGAACGGGCGGCAAGACTCAGGAGATCTGCTTGAGTACGTCGTCTTCGAACTGCTGAAGCGACTGGTCTTGACTAATTTGGTCTGGTTCTTCATGGCTTTCCGGCTCACTCTACTACAGCTCATAACGCTCGAAACAAAAAGTGGTGCTTTGCTATGTAGTCCATGCTGCCTGGTTGTGAGGTCAGAACCAAATCAACATGCTTGGCACGGAAATAGACCGCATGCCACTGCAGGATCCGAGTAACTACTGCCCTGGCTGATGGATCGAACGTTTATCTGTAAAACTCACCCAGCAGGGCAGAAAGGTATGAGTCTAAAATACCCACTTGGCCGGACATCTTAAGATCCACAAGAAGAAGCTGGTGTCCGGCCACATGGTGACGGAAGAAGGTGTTCAGCTCCTGCGCTCGGCGCGGACCCAGCTCCGAGTCCCACACAGCTTTTGACGGCTTCAACCATTGTTCATGACACATGTCTCACCAGGGTACTTGTGCCACCTCGACCCAAACTCAATCAACAAAATGGACATTTACAAACATATGGTATATCATATGGTGCATTGAGCAACCCCAGGAGACTCTTAATGCTCCTTTTCAGGGCCCAAAGTGGGGTGAAAGGACCAAAGGTCCTACCCCCCTAAGTCCGATCCGGAAGAAGAGTGACGGTCTGAGGTCCTACCCCTGACCCCATGCAAGCTCGTCCGTAATGAGAAATCAGAGTCGAAAGCCAAGTATATAGTAGGGTCTGTCATAGTGCTCGACTTTTGAACAAGAAGCAAGTCTGCCTCAAAGCTAACAAAAGCTGTGAACCAAAAAAACCTTCAAACATTTCTTAGGTGAGACTTCAACATGAATGGCGGAGGATTCGTGACTCTCCTCACTCTCAAATCATAGAACGTCAGAACGTCAAAGCCCTGAAACTCAGGCCAAGCTTTTCCCTTCCGTTGCCCCCCCAGTCGGTATGGCAGGTCGTCGAAATACCAGGTACTCCCCAGCATCCGTCTCTCTCCTCGTCCCAGAGCTTGTCCCAGGCTTCGGTCATGATCATGTCCATCGCTTGATTGTTGGGACCTTCACTGGACGTTCGCTTCACCGACCCTCCGACGTTCGGGACCACCAAGAGATCGCCATGGAAAACCAACTGGGGAAGACCACGGCGGGAGCCCCGGACGGTCGGCCGTCCCGTTTGAGCGACCGCGCGGGGGGGGATGGGGTCGCTCTAAAACACCCCTGTCACAAGAATGTAAACCAATTTCTCCACAAAACGGCTGTGGTCAGAAAGAAACTCTTGAGTGAGCTTCCCCTTTCTGTCCGGCTGTCCATTCCCAATCCTTCTCACTCCAGCCGGAGTCCCTCCGCTTGTTCAACTAGAGCCATCCAAAAGCACCATGTAGGACCTAACCAGGCTCGGCCTCCTTCCTTGGATCACCCTCCTTCCTCATCTTTCGGCCCAGAGGCAGAAGAGGGTGAAAGGTCCTTGCTGCGAAAGCTCCTTTCCGGAGACAAAGGACTGGGTGACTGGGTGCAGATATAAGGAAATGATAGCAGATAGCAAATGCAAGGATTGCAGCATGCTAGTTTCAGAACACCCCGTCCATTCACTCCTGTATCACAGAGGGAGCAGAGTCCAACCGTGTGCCTCAAGCGCGGCCGGTCCATCGGGCTCGCCGGCAAGCTCTTGTCAGACTGTGGGGGGGCACCGGGCGGTGTTCACCGGGCGAAGACATGTTGAAACAAGGATCTCAACATCAACCTTGTGTCAACATCAAGAAGCTGTTGTTTCAACATCAAGGATGTTGTTGTTTCAACAACAACATTGTTTTCATCCTTAGAAGTTTCAACATGAAACCTTGCCATCTCTGGAAAGAAAAAAAAACTTTACATTAGGACTGCGTCGAACTCCCATCATTCCCCCCTGTTTGCACACCTTTTTCAGTCGCGGAGTGTCAGCTAATGGGTGCGAGCATTCTCAGTAGAAACTGTACTCAATTTAGTGGAAGAGACAGCCAAACTCTGCAGGTTCCGGGGAAGAACTCCCTCCAGAAATGGGTCCTCCCTCCCTTGTGAAATGTAGGTAGAGTTAAAGTTAAGGTTCTGAAGGTTGCTGGGCCAAACAACACCCTCCAAACTCTGCCGCAAGTGCACTACAAAATGAGAGTTTAAGGTCAATTTCTCGAGACCGCTTGGCCAAGACACTTTGTCCAACCTCTGGCAGAAGCCAATGTCAAATGAAAGGCTCTGAAGGTTGCTGGGCAAAACAACTCCTTCCAGACTGTGATTGAAATGCATGCCAAACGAAAGGCTCTGGATGCTGCTGGGCCAAGTCACTCCCTCCAGACTTTGGTTGAAATCACTGCCAAACGAAAGGCTCTGGAGGCTGCTGGGCCAAGTCGCTCCCTCCAGACTTTGGTTGAAATCACGGCCAAACGAAAGGCTCTGAAGGCTGGCGGGCCAAGTCACTTCCTTCAAACTCTGGTTGAACTTTGCGCCAAACGAAAGGCTTTGGAGGCTGCTGGGCCAAGTCACTCCCTTCAGGCTCTGGTTGAAACTCAGGCCAAATGAAAGAGTCTGAAGGTTGCTGGGCCACAACACAGCTTGCAAATTCTGGTTGAAGTCAAGGAGTGAAAGGCTCTGAAGACTGCTGGGCCATCTCACTCCTTGCAAACTCTGTTTCAAGCAACTTAACGAAAGGTTCTGGAGACTGCCTGGCCAAGTCAACCCCTCCACAGTCTCATTGAAGTCGCTATCAAAGGAAATCGAAAGGCTCTGAAGGCTGCTAGGCAAAGCCACTCCTGCCGGACTTACGTTGAAGGCACCGGCAAACGAAAGGGTTGAGAGGCTGCTGGGCCAAGTCACTCCTTCCAAACTCTGACTGCTGGCTCTGCCAAGCGCAAGGGTCTGAAGACTACTGGGCAAAGCCACTCCTTGCAAACTTTGGTTGAACTCACTGCCAACTGAAAAACTCTGCAAACTGTGGGGCCAGGCTACTCGATGCAGGCTCTGGTTGAATCGAAAGCCAAACGAAAGGCTCTGGAGGCCGCTAGGCCAAGTCACTCCCTCCAGACTTTGGTTAAAAGCATGGCCAAACGAAAGGCTCTGGAGGCTGCTGGGCCAAGTCACTCCCTCCAGACTTTGGTTGAAATCACTGCCAGAATCACTGCCAAACGAAAGGCTCTGGAGGCTGCTGGGCCAAGTCACTCCCTCCAGACTTTGGTTGAAATCACGGCCAAACGAAAGGCTCTGAAGGCTGGCGGGCCAAGTCACTTCCTTCAAACTCCGGTTGAACTTTGTGCCAAACGAAAGGGTGATGAGGCTGGTGGGCTAAATCACTCCCTCCAGAGTTTGATTGAAATCAAAGCCAAGGGAAAGGCTCTGAAGCGTGTTGGGCCAAGCTGCTCCCTCCAGACTCTTATTGAACCAGTTTCCAATATGAAGGCTCTCGAGAGTGCTGGGCCAAGCCACCCCTTTGAGAGTCTGGTTAAACATATTGCCAAACGAAAGGCTCTTGATGCTGACAAGGTTCCTCAGTTGAGTTGGTTCATCGAGACCTTCTACTTCTTGGATTCCCTCCAGGGCCATTGACTCATCCTCCACTGGGAGACCTTTGATGCATGTCCAAGCCTCCTGCAGATTTGCTGCCTCGTAAGCGTAGGACAAAAATGCTGATCCTCCTTCAACAAGGCCTTCTTCGGACAAAGTCTTTTTCAACGACAGCTTCTCAGTTCCTTTCAGCACTGAGACTCTTGCTCCAGCCTTGGATGGAAGTCGATCACGAATCATCCGACGGAGCTCGGAGCCTGTAAGAAGTTTTGGCACCTGCAAATTTAATCCATCTCCATGAAGTCCTGTTACCTGGGATTGGCTTCAAATAGCAGAAATCCACCAAAATGTAGAATACAAAAACAGTAGATGTCCCAGAGTAAATTTCACCAAATGGGTGTGACCCTCTTGTGGCTCAAAAAGTAAGACTCAAGACCCGCAGGGTTTGGTATTGTTCCTTTGCAGTTTGTTGTGTTTTGTTTTCCCTTTTGCCGGGGGGGGCCATCTGTCTTCAATCCAACCGAAAACATCACCAACAACACCAACTCACTTGAATCTCCAGGAGCTCTTCATTGCCAGGCAACGGCAGGTATGGCTCACCGACATGATCTGACATGAGAAACGGGCGGCGCCGCAACGTAAGAAAAGGTGGCAAAGATCTGACTTGAAGCTTATACACTTACTGAGACATGATAATAAACCCTAGAGCTCCAAGTACCTTCTAAGAATGTGTTTGGAGTGGGCTTGGAGGGTCCAAGTACCTTCTGAGGAGGTACTTGGAGCCCTAGGGAAACTAACATTATGCCTTTAAACCAAAAATTTCAAGCATAACTTGGTTTAACAGGGCCAAGCTTTGTTGTAAGGCACGTAAAGCTGTCTAGTAGCTATCGTAACACACCTTGTTTAGCTGCCTCCATGCAGTTACCCGCAGTTTGTGCAAGACTTGCGCAGCTTCACCCTCGACCTTTCAGCCAAAATTGTCGCGTCTTGCGGCTCAAAGAGAACTTGACGAAAGATACAGTTTATCCCAAACCATCCACGCATGGAATAGTTACTCAGGGTTGTAGATAAGCCAAATGTGTGCACCTTACATACTTAATGGAAATATACCTCTTCCAGTCCCACTTGTCTGGGAATGTTCATGAATGTTTGCTTATCGATCGGAGCTTTCGTGCCGACTCCGGTAGTTGGAGACATATCAGTTGTCACACGGATAAGAACAGATACTACACTACACTTGATCATAGCCAAGTGGCCGAGAAGGTATGATTGTCCTAGCCTCCTGGCCTCTTCATCTGAGACTATGTTAGCCAGCCTTGACCAATCAACCCGTCGCAAGTAACAAAAGAATCAGCTGCGCACAGCTGATGGAGGCAGGTAGCCCTACAGGGTTTGCTCAGGGAGACAACCAACTCAAGGCCAAAGTGCGAAGAGGAACTTCCTCTTAGTCACTGACCTGACAGCTACAGCTGTGCAGGACTAAAGCCTCCACTAGCCATAAAAAAAGGCGGAGTTGCGCACATTCATGCTACTAGAGGTCACTGACACCCATTCAAGCTCATTCTCTCCCATCTGCTTGCAGGGCTGAGTCTTGCCTGCTCTGTTGGGGTTGCTCAATGGTGCGGAGCCAGGGCCGTGAACCAGGACAGCAAAAATGAATCTTGCTTCCTTGCTTTAGGACCAATCTGCTACACACAAAAAGGGCTGCTACAAAACAAAACATGTTATCAACAGGCCTCATCGCCAGATCCGTGTCTCTCCTTGGACCCCCCAAGACCCGGAGAAGCGGTCCTTCCCTTCAAAGTGGGAGAGAGGGAGAGGAGGGAGAGAGAGACCCCAGGCCCCACCCTTCAGGCAACGACCCAGATAGACCAGGGAGGAAGCTCGACCCAGGCCATCCGACTGTCTTGCGGGCCATTCGCATCTGCATGTCATCCCCTTTTTCCCAAGCTCCCGGACCGAAGCTCCGCGCTGAGGTGACTCGTTGCACCTGAGCTCCTCACCCCTCGATGGCACGCGATCGACGACCCGCGGTCCGGTGGACCGACGTGGACGCACGGACGGCGCGGCGCGGGACTGGAGTCATTGGACGAGTCGTTTAAAGGATGCATTGGATTGCATAGCTCATGCCGCATGCCTGGAGCACACGGTTTTCCCCATAAGTCTCGAGTCTGGAGCGTGCAGGTCACATGGGCATCGAAGTTCCGATTCTTGATTCATTCTGAATTCGACTCGGAGCCATCACAAAAAGCCTTGAATGCAACACTCGAGACCTGACAAGAACAATGTACCTGCCAATCAGTCCAGCCCAAAAACCGGCAACAAGCTGGAATTCTGCAATCAGTTCCGACATTCTTGTCACTGCTTTCAACCAGTCACTTTCCTCCGTCTTTCCTCATCTCCAAGGAACATGATTCACCACGGTCTTTCGGATCATACTCTTCTCAGACCAGGCCCTCGGTCGAGCGGTTTGGGACTTTTTAGACCCAGTGAGAGTCGAGAAACTCATCCTCTTCGATGGAGCCCAGAGGTCATTGACCCATCAGTTACATCCAAAAGTTCCCCATCTAAAGTCGTCAATTAAGGGACGTCTCTCTATCCGCTGCGAGTTTTCGCAGATGGCAAGCGTTCTTGTTGACACGACCCCAACGCGCAGTGCTGCAGTTGAAAGAACAAAGAACGGTGAGTAACACTTGAAACGAATGTGGCAGTGTGTGTCACCATAGATGGTATCTGGCTTTGTTTTCGCCTCATTTGATTGGAATTCGTCCATCAACGGTCGGTTTGAAGCACGTCATCTTCCCCGGCACCGTAACTCCAAGGACCGCCACTCCGCGCAGGTTCGGCCACTCGGCAGCTCCACTCTCGAAGGTGAAACTAGCGCTGCCAAAGCGCCAAGCCATGCTGTTGAACTTGGCCCACGGAGAATTGTGGTACCAGCCATACCTGAAGAAAAGGTCAGTTCCACGCTAACATGAACATTTGACTGCACTCTGCCACGTATTCTAAACGTCTTCCAGTGGCTTGGGAGGGAGATGGAATGAGCAGCGATCAAAACAATCCTTATCTTGCATGAAACCCCCCAAGGCCTACTCTGGTTGACCAACGACAGCAGTTGAGAAAAAGATACTGTAATGTGAATATCACAAGTGCAGCTGTGGACCTATACAAATGTAGTTTTCGAGCCCAATTCCTGGCTTTTGGTTACATCCAGGTGTGATGTTCAGAAAAACTGAGGTCAAGGCAGAATCGGGCTGAGCACATGTTTCTGCTTCCGGATCTTGTGGAACTTCACCGGCCCCACCTGGAGTGGCACACTTCGACCCAAATGTGATGATTTCGATCTTTTTCGATAACTTACAGTATCTTCAACATACATGGAATCCCACTTTAGAATGGCCACATCGGAAGATGTAGAACGTGTTTGATGGCCTTCTGGGTGTTTTTCATGTCTTCGGCCCACTCATCCTCTGTCTTCGGCCAACGCCAACCCCAGACACCGATCTCCGACTCAGCTCTAACCCATCTCCGACTCAGTCGCGGGCTCCAGGAAACAAATGGGCTCGTGCGCATCGGCTCATGGCGGGGCGTTTTTACATGCGGAACCCCGAGCGCTTGGCAGGATTTGGTTTGACAAACCATCTCCATCATTTGATCCGGCTGCCAATGCCAACTCCAATAGAATCAAAAACTCTATGGCAAATAACTTCGGAGTAACGGATGTTCTTTGCTCCCAACTCGGAATGTGTGGTGTCATCCAAACACCCGCTGGGTGCAAAAAGATCCCGGACAGGAAACAAATTGAATGTTTTTGTTCAATTGGCATCTCCGTGTGTAACACATTGTGACGAGTATGGCTCAGAGCAAGTCCACACCCTGTTGCTCACTGGTTTTGGCATCGAAGATGTAGCCAGCTGCTGAATGGAAATGAAACAAATGTGTCTCAATTGGCTGTTATCCATCCAAACATATCATGCCTGCCAAAGATCGGGACTGTTCTCAAACCATCACGAGATGGTTCCCTGGTAGTTGTGCTGGTGAATCATGTTGAAAACTGATTGGGGCATTGGGCAATACAGAGTGCAACAGCCATGAAAAAAAAGAACAGGCACAAAATTTGTCCACTCCCTAACATAATCAACAGTTAAAGCAGAAATAGAAACCAGCGCTGTGAGCGTGAGTTTTCCACCGTTTCCTGCAGATGCCTCTTGTTATATACTGTTGCATTGACTACTGACTGTGCCAAATCAACTTGCGTTTCCTGCAAATACCAATTCTGAAGAAAAAAGGTTTGGGGTGGACTCACTTGCGAACTGTCCGACGGTCCGCCCCTCTAAGCCCTTCCACAAAGTGGGGTGCTAGAAGGTAAACAAGTATCTACACATCGAAAACATCCTTGTGAGAAGAAAAGCTCACCTATGTACAAACACACAGGAGATCAAATTCACTCACTGTGAAATTGAAAAAACATTTGAAAAAAAAAGTAAAAAATACCAATCGTGCAGAGAAATCGTTGCCCTCTCAAAAAAATACAAAGATACAAAAATGCGAATCTTGTAGAGGAATAGTTGGCCCCTTGTGCCCAAGTACTTCCACCTTTTGGTATGTTTGGCATTTTTCCCAAACAGTGTGGACACACTAGGGGTTTTTGCGGTAATGGTCAAGCAGCTGTGCTCAGATCGCTGTGCAGCGCGGCCGTGTCCGATCAATTCCGCCATTTGCAGCACATTCATGTCTCTCGAAATCGTCGACGTGTCTTTCGACTGCGCAGGCTCGCAGAATCTGCAGCGTGTGCTTGTCGCGACTGCGCTCTCGTTGTGGTGCCGTGCCATTTTGTGAAAACACAGTAGCAACGCGTCCTTTTCGGTCCCGCTCCCTGAGCCAAAGTTACAGTCATTTATAGACTGTCTTCAAATGTCCTCTTAGCTTCTTAGAAGCACATCCACTCTTCTTGAAAGAGTACATGACTGTACCTAGTCATCTCCAAACTACACAAACTGCAAGGAAACTACATCAAACAGTCTCTAAAGACATCGTGCTCTACCAAAAGGTTCTCTAAGCAGTTCCTAGCCACAAGCTGCCACTTCAAACATCCTCCTGCTAAGGTGGTCAAAGGTCAAACACAAAAAGGGCACAGACCTCCACTCAGCTCCAACCCCAAGTACTCCAAAAACGAAAATTCCCTAAAGAAGCAAGCACTAGGTGAGCCATACACTGTACACGTGCGCTGTACGCTACTT